TAGGGTAGTAAGGCATAAGTGCGGTTAAATACATGTATTCCGAAGGCCAGCCTACGTGTACACGGGCCAGAAAGATTCCAAAGTGACCGCCAAACGCCAGACAGTCACATAAACAAAGCATTACAATGATCTACTGTAATGAAGTAAACATGCATGCTGATGCAGCTTCACTTTAAAATGAACTTAAGCTGGTCTATTAGAAACTACCCAAAGCCACACCTTTTAGCTGCAGAGAAAAGTAGTAGGCTGCTTTAACTACACTATGATTATTACCTTAAGACAATTAGAAATTATTTAGACTATAGGAGGGGAGGGGGCTTGTGGGGACCTAGAATACTTGACCATCATGGGATTCTTCTTGTTCCTCCAACAAGTCCATTTATTGGTTCGGCGCATAAGCAATAACTTTTGCTGGCTTCATTTTATCTGTAATAGGTCAGTGGTTGAAAAAAATCTCTTGGTTTTGCAGCATTAATATGGCAACAACTTTAGGTGGAACTTTAACTTTGCTGAGCACTACCATACTGTTCACATTTGCATATGAAACCATTATTGGTTCTGCTAATCGGTACTTTGTGTCAAGTTTCAGATGTACGGCAAACTTATTTGCCATCATTGAAGCTTTTTCTCTTGTAAATTGTATTGTATCTACAAGTGATTCTCACAGTCGATAACAGATTATTTCACATATTTAGAAGCTTCATAAGGCTTGCGTAAATCCTGAAATAGGGATGTAATACTTCTCAACTAGCTTAAGATCACTTTTAGAGAATGTTGGGATATATTTGCAGATGGTCAGCTGAGATAATGTTGTGGATGTAAGACACTACTTATCCGTGACCACTACGCTGGAGCATATGCGCGTATGTATGGTGTTATTAAAACAACTTCGATGCACCGGAATCAGGAGCACCACGGGTTTTTAACAATAAGTAGTGACTTTCACTCGCCTTGCAATCTGCGTTGTCAACTTATACAAACTTAATAACCCGTTATTCATTTGGCCTTCGAATGCATCCATCCGTTCTTTGATAAAATTATCGTTACTGTAATTACTTAAATAGGAGTTGCTTCGGTTT